TGAATGTCAGACAAATTCCTAAATATTTGAACAGAAAAGCCCTGCTAAAGCTATTATTCTGTATTAATGGAAGCAAATACTATGCCAAAATGAAACCCTTCTGCAAGCAGGGCCTATCTTAATTTCAGTTTTCCATTTTAAATACTAACTTCTGCCTGCCTTGATGATTACTTGTTAAGCTGCTGTTAAAAGAGTGCAGGTACAGAGATCAGAAATAAAAACAAACTGTCCAAAAGCTGTAATGAACTGTTAGTTCAGTGCTGAGGCAAAACTTATGACTACCAGCATTGTTGCTGCCTACAAACTCCTGTTGCATAGTTGAGCCATCTACAAATAGCTAATATTTACCAGGTGATATTTTGTGTGGACATCCATGTAACCAGTTTTCAGCTGACAGGCTGCTATAAAATGAAAAGATGGACAGCAGTAAAAAAAAAAAAAAATAATTTTGTATATTAGATATTACACAGAGATGACAAGCTCATGTCTCTGTCCTGGTGAAGGAAAACAAATTACTTCATGGCCTTGAGGTTTCTTCCAGAGCATATTTTGTTCTCCTTACATGAGCAGCAATGTGTGAGCTTGATAGGCTGGCTCTAAAAATCTGCATTATATTCCCCTTTCGGAAAGACCTAAGGTCTTCATTTAAATTTTAGAAGATTCTGTGTGTCTACCTGATTTTCTGACCTTGTACTTGTTCAGGATGCTTTATCCCAGATCCCAACCTCCCAGAGCTCACTGCAACCTCTGGGGCAGCGCAAAGGTCTCTGGATCGAGGTGGCTGCCAGGAGAGTGGGCAGTAAAGAACATGCCAGCTCCAAAATGCTGAGGGTTGAGTCACACAGGGTACTGCAGGGTTTAAACTCTGTGGCACATGGAGCTGCTGTACAGAAGAACTTGTGTTATTTGTTGATCAGCGTGAGCCTGGACAATGCTCCAACCACGACTCGGTAAGCTCCAGTCAGTTGTGCTGTATTGAACTGAGAGGAAAAAAGCCTGGCAAGACTGAAACCTAGAAATAAAACTAAATATAATTTGGGCAGCTGAATGTCTGATGTGTGTCCCAATGGAGGCATTATCGAGCATGCATTGTTCTAGACCACCCTTGGCCTAAGTCATAGTGAGTATCTCAAAGATCACGAAGAAAAAAAAGTTTGGAGCACGTTCAAAGGCAAATAGTTGGTAAATATTTATGTGGATTACAAAAGACGAAGCAGCCCACCAGATGTTGAAAGATGCAAGTACTTAATGCACTGAGGAAAAAAAATGCAAGAATATCTTGTACTTTTGGAATGCTGCTGTGGCAATGTGTTTCAAGGACAGAGGCTTCACCAGCGAACTGCTGTCCATTGAATCAGCTTCAGTCTCGACCTTATTGAGGTGTATGAAATATATGAATAGTCTACCAGTGTGCTGGTAATTTAAATGATAAATGCTGATAAGAACTTTTCTCCTTCCTGCCTAAGCTTTACTCAAAGTCTTCCATTAAAATATATAATTGAGTACCTAGACAGTTGCATTTTGATTTGCATCTATTGCCAACACAATATATCTTTCAGATAAGCCTTTCATGCATTACTTTCAATAGTAATGTTTTAAATTAAAAGACTGCTTCCATCAGCATAATGAAGCAAGACAGCCAAGAAAATAGCTGTGTGTCTGAGCACAGAAATTCATTAAAGTAAGAAAAAAAATCCATGAAACAGGGATGATAATGGGAAAAATATTGAGCCTCAAAGATAACAATACTGAAAGAAGAGCCTGCATTTAGGGCTTACTTCATGGGAGGGGCTGTTTTCTCTTTCTAGAGGTTTGGGTTTTTTTTAATTCTGAGAAATCAAAATTTTGGCAACTCAGTCACTTTTAAGCTGCCATAGGCACATGGGATTTTACTAGCACAAAACCTGTTGCTGATAGTGATATATGGAATAGTCCATTATGCTGCTTACGTAAGTATTAGTATTAAGGGTTTCTCTTCTTCCAATACTAAGAAACATACAATTTAATAATGACACATATCACTGCTCAAAGAAGACAATTTAATGTAATCAAGATGATATGCTTTCTAATTGCCCTCCTGGTCTCTATTTAGGATGCAGACTGTAGATGTTTTACCTATATTTATCTTAGAAATAAAGTCCTTTTCTAAAAGAAGTATTTGAAAAGAGGCTGTTCTCCTCATTAAAATGCTTTTACCTTCCCCAGAGTATAAAGAACTTTCATAGTGAGTGCTAATGAGACACATACTCGCCTCTCAGTTGCATTCTCTCTTCCTCCTCTACGTTATTTCTTTTCTTCAGCAAGTCAAGGCAGTGTTAAGCAAGAAAACTCATATCTGTCTGATTGTTCTCTGCACCCCTGCCTGTCTGCTGAGCTGTGCTGCTGCTTTTGACAGGCTGTGGGAAGTCAGGAACACCGGGAGGGTTTACAGGAGAAGCTGACACCCTGCACACATCCAACCTCAGACGAGTTTTATAAATCTGATAGCTGGCTCCACCGACTATGCAAAGACAAAAGGTTCTGCCTGGGACAGAACAACCCATTGCTGCTGGAGCACAGATGGTATGAAAGTGCTTGATATGACACAAGGTGCTAGAAAATGTTGGCTCTCTACAGTGTGCTGTCAAGACCTGTTTGCTTTAAGCTGCCAGTCTGGCATTGTCTTTTGGAAACCAGCATGCAGCCAGCAAACCCATTTCCATCAGAACCAGAAAAAGTTTCCCTGTTTATACTTCACTTCCACTTTCTCCCACCAGGTAATTTCTCTCTATAATGTCACCACCGGTATTATAGCAGAATTAATGAATAATCAAAATTTCTCTCGTACTAGGCACAAAACAATAAATAGTAAATGGAGGAAGTAGGTTTTAAAAACGATAAGAGAAAAGGAAAGAGAAGCTTTCAAACCAAACATTCCCCACACCTGAACCTGCGGAACTTTCCAGATACAGCGTAAAACTCCTCCTTTTCCCTATTTTGGGTACAGATGTGCTGAGAGGCACTAGCCCCCTACCTGCCCTTGGTTCAGGTGCTGCTGACTTTGGTAGCTGAACTCAGTGTGGGCCAGAGCACACGTTTCATGCAGCCTGGCACACAGCTCATGGGCTAAGACTTGGTTAGACAGGAAGAGCATCAGCGACCTTGCTGTCTTCTGAAGTCTCGACAGTTCTTCTGCCTTGCCATGTGAATCCTGTTACAGATATGAAACGAATCTCTCCTGGTTTATGATGCATCCTTTAGTCCCCTTTTTGAAAGCTGAATTAGGCAGCACTGGGATGAGGTCACAGATCAGAAGAGCTCCTGTTTAGCTTCTACCTCCAGTACCTGGTTCATTCATCGTCTAGTTTGGCAGTTGGAGGAAGGTAAAGGCCAGGGTAAAATCCAACATGGAAGTATACAATAAAACAATTTTGGGAACTTTGTCTTTCTGTATGCCTTCTCCATGGCAGCAGGAAGGCGTTGTAAAGGCTCAAACTGGCCAATATTCCAATCTATTTTTCACTAAAATCTTTACATTTCATTAACGTTACCATGAACCAATTAGATGACTTCAGTTCAGTCGATTTTACAGTTACCCAGTGACCATTTTTAATTATTCTATCATTACAAGCACTGTAACCTTGTCTTTGTCCCTCTCATTGTAAGACTTTTAAAGTGCAATGTACCATATTTTTCATACACCCAGAATGTGGATGCAACCGTGAGGTGGAGGGCTCTGAACTTGTGTAGATGTAGGTGAGCATAAGGAGTACTGAACATGGGAAAACATCGGTGTTGAGGATCTTTTTCTTCCTCTAGGTAAAAAGTAATGAGATTACATACCTTAGGAAGACTCTTTGAATGTCAAATGTTGGCACATGGCTCTACTCTTGTCTCGACACATACAATTTTCAGGCCTACTTATGAGCAATCATACCTCATGTCCCTTTGCTCAGGCAACTAATTGACTGCTGAAGACTTTAATTTGTTTCTTGTTACACTATTATCCAGATGTCTCAATATTAAATGACAATTTTGTCTCCTGATACTGTTGCAGGAAGTTTTACCCTTCTTTTTGAAAATATTTTTGTATTCAAACCAATTGTAAGTGCTTTCTGAAATGTTATCATTAAGCTGTTGTACTTGAATGACTATGGGAAACAAGGACTTTGGAATTTCATCTTTGTTGTTAAAAATCTACAACTAGGTGCTATGAAAAAGTCACCCTTTTTTTGCAAAACTGCATGTGGCAAACCCAGAAATAAAATGAAGCACACAGTGGCATGAAATGGCTACAGGCCAACACAGAAATTGAGAAAAGTCTCACAAAATATCTGTGATGAGCTAACATCAAAAGAATTTAGGTTCAGCTTGGCACTAAAAAATTTGGTTAAGCAAGGTAATGAGCACTGCTGTGCTTTTGATCTTCAAAATGTCTTACAAAGGTTAAGTCTTTAAAATATATCCGTGAAATGAAGCGTTATATTGGCACCATTGTTCTTTTCCCCCTCAGTTAAAGTAGATGTTGAGTGTTTAAATGTCCATGGGTGTGGAGAAGGTCAGATCTAGTACTGCAGACTAAGCTTCTTCTGCAGTGCCTGAATTTCTCAGGCTGGGCTGGACATTCTTCATTTATTCAGTCATCCCTGGTTGGCCACTGCTCTCCTTTTCTCGAACTGATTGTCCTCTCCGACATCTTTTTCCTGACTAGTCTGGAGCTTTCCACTGCACTACATGCACTCAGATTGCCCAGGTAAGCCTGCAATCACTCTGCAGGTCAACCCTCACCCGGCTGCCTTTCCCTGCTCTGTTACTTTGGAGTTTTTTGCAGTGCAGACTTTTCTCTCCTTCTGAACTGCTCTAAGGAAAGGTCACTCTCACAGAGCTCGGCAAAACCCTCTATTCAACACGCTTTGCAGAATCCCTATGGAAGACCCAGCTGAATGAATTTGTTCTTTAAAGCAGGTACATCACAAACACATGTGTAGAGTCTCCATGTATGAGGGTAGAAAGCAACTCACCATCTCCTGTGTTTAGAAGCACCTTGGAAAAGCCGTGTCTGGGAACCGGACCGGAAGTAGGAATTAAATCACCCTTAGCAACACTGGATACTGCCAAAAACCTGCGAGAAAGCAAAAAATCATAATATCGACTCTGTAAACGACAACGAATGATGTCCACTTCAGAGGAAGGAAAAAAAATTTTCTGAAACCCTAAACTAATTTTCAGGATCTCTTCAGATAACCGGGAACCATTCTTTAAAGGCTTAGGGGCCAGTGTCAGGAAACCCCCGGGGAGTCCACATAAGAGCATTGCTGGCGATGTCTGAAATTCCCTGTAATGAGCTAGTGAACGACCAGCAAGTATTTGACACTCCAGAGAGTGACTCCGCTCGAGGAAGGCAAGAAATCGAAAAACCTGCCCTGTTCTTTTCTGAAGATAAATGATCAGTTAGAGGAGAAGGAGGAGGAAGCCTGTGCTGTTTAGCCAAGCCAGCAGTTCCAGGGTATCTCATGCTCTCAGCACCCGAGTGCATCTGTCAGGTGCTAATTGTCGACTCCCACTGACTGCAGTAGGAGCCCAGGGCACTTTGCAGTATTAAGCTGCTGTTATTAAACTAAACACATAAACACGCCAGTATGTGCAGTTTGAACTGCAAGGCATTGTTTCTTGGATTCTCAAAATAATACATTTTTTTTCTTTTTTTCCCCTCCAGTTAGCAGTGTCTCAGAGTAAGCAACTGCCTAAAGAAGAAATATAAGGCAAAAGGATATGCACTGTGAAGTCTGCGCTGCGAAAAGCAGAAATACATCATTCTACCAGGAGTAGGCTGATTTAATTTTAAATATAAAATCTTTAAATGGCTAATGTGCTTAAAATGTAGAAAATCAGATAACAAAAGCAGTTCTTGTTTCAAAGCAGAAGAGCAGTCAGTGAGAAAAATGAATAAAAAGAAGACAAAGTGACAAATAAGGAACTAGCACTGATTTCCTGGGGGGGGTGGTGGGAAGGATTAAAAACTAATAATTTTTCACACATTGTCAAATAACATGGTAATTTATCCAGGATATAATTATACAACCATTTGGCTGTGACTTGCTATCAGATGAGTTCTTACAGCTTGAAGTGCTCTGGGCAGGTTTTGAGGATGGTTATAGACCTGTTTTTTGTACCACTTGGCATTGTGGCCACAATCCCTGGAGGAGTTCAAGAAACAACTGGGCATGGCCCTTGGTACTGTGGTTTAGTTGACAAGGTGGTGTTTGGTCAAAGGCTGGACTCGATGATCTTGGAGGTCTTTTCCAACCTTTATGATTCTATGGGCTAGGCTGGGATAGCAAGTGTTTTGGTTTCTTGAGGTTGCCAGTGCAACTTTGGGAAGTCCAGGTTTCTATTACTAAAGGAAGGGCAAGAACCTCCCTGCCAGGGAGGCACCCAGCAAATCGTGAGTTATAAATCAGTGCTGTATGTGTTGGAAAAAACTGAAAAAGTATAAGCTCTCAGTACTTTTGTACCCATGCCTCTGCTAGACATAAGACTTATATTTTTCAGAAGTTAGTCTCCTGCTCAGTACAGAGCATTAACCTTCAAAATGCAACTTATTGGCAGTGATAATAGAGTTTAAAAAGTAAAATGAGTGTCTGCGCTCCCTCTTTCCCTGCTCTCCTTTGTAATTCAGATTTCTCTCTCTCTAGGCAAGGTCAGGAAGGACAGAAGGTAGAGGGGCCATCATGACCTACTATGGGAATATGCAGCACTCAAGACATAATGATGTACTTTGCTGTGTCTTGTTAAGCATCCAACAGATGACCATCAATAACTGATCAAGGTAGAGGCAGAGTAGCCCTTTTCTCTGGTTTTCCTTGGAAATTGTTTGTGTAACCATTGTCTCCATTCTTTTATCTCAACACGCTCCATCAGATGTGGCAAAACCATGTTCTGCGTGAGAATGCAGGAGTGCACAAGAGCTGAGATAATTTTAGGGTGATCTTAAAATACTCAAAAAGATTTCCATCTTAAGGGCTGAAAGGAGGGGAAGCTGGCTTGAAACCTTGCACGCTAATGTTTCATTCCCAGGTAAGAAATTATAGGTATCAGAATGTCCAGGTAGCACCTACGCTCCTCAGAGATTTTGTTTGGCCTCTCTAGACAGGCAAGAAGTTCTGTTTCTTTGCAAACTTGAGGTTCTTTTGGTACATGGCTTACCCCTACAGTCTATCTTTTGTCCATCCTCCTTGCCCTCCTGCTTCTGCACCTTTGCATTTTCATCTTCATCTCAAACGTGTTTGCAAGCTCCTGGCTCTTGGCACTCAGTTGCCATTCCTGGTTGCATTCCCTTTTTCTCTCCAGGTCCTCTAATGCAAAAAGGAATATTTCTGAAATATATGTGTTTATTTAGTCAAGAATTTCATTGTTGGCACTGTCACTCAGTGACTTCATTCTTGTCTGAAGGGGGAGAGAGTGTCCTCTGAAGGGGATCTGGAGGTCACCTGGGTTCTTAGATCACCATTTGCTCCTTTGTTATCTAGCTTGGAGTGCTGCCAGGCATTCCTGTGCAGACAGATTTGCAAGCTGCCTACAAGCTCTTGAGAAGACCTTGTCTGCATGGGAAGGGAGGATGGATGTGGGAGTCTTTGTTGATGAAACAGCAGTGTGGATGTAGCTGTTGTACCTCATCATTTGTAATTATCACTTCATTATCGTTACCTTATCCTTTTCTGTTTAATTAAAACGTATGTATGCTGGACCTAGGGGTTCAGCAGAGGAACTGAACAGACATCTCCAAGGTGAATCCTACACAGCTGGCAAGTAAGGTTCATATGGAATTATGCTTTCTTTAAACTTTCCAAGAACATTAAAAAAATATTAGTAACGCTCAATGAGTGACTGAGACTGGTTTTACAACGGGGATTCCTATAAACTGAGGACAGAAAGTAAGACATTACAAAACCACAGAAACAAGGACTTTTTGAACTATTGATAAACTAGTTACAATAACAGTAATTTTTGTTATGACAGAACATCCCCACGTAAAGGGAAAAATTAGAAAACTGCCCCAAATCCTATGAACTCACTGTTTTGTTTAATAAACATAAGCCAAGCTTTTAACAGATTAGCAGTGTTGTTTTGTACATATGAGAACTTAATATTTCTAAATATAAACAAACTTCTTTTTACTCAATATAAAATCATTTCCCATCTGCTCAGAGTCCCAGTAATCTCATTTTGTGCATGGCAGCAACTTCCTTTAGGAAGGTAGTCCAGCAGAAGTAATTCTGGACCTGCCTCCATCTCTGTAGCACATTTATTGCTTCCATCGCTTCTCAAGCCTCAGGGTACTCCTGCTTCAAGCTTCAATATTTATTACGTCAGGTTGAAGTCTGCCAGTAACCAAAAAAGCAGAACTACCAGTTGCAGCCCTCCTTTCCTAGCAAAAACACTGATATTATGAGAGCTTTGGTCTTCTGAAACACGGTGGGAAAAGCCTTATGAGATGCGTGGAATAAAAAGGCAAGCTTTTTCTTGTGGTTAAAAGTAGCATTTGCAATAATTCCAAGAGTAAAAGTGATTTTCTTACCGTGTGGAAGATGCTAAATAAGACTTTTTAAAATGGTATCTTGCACTAAGGTAATTATGGGAGACAAGCAGCTTTGCATGAATCTAACAGCTGTTTTAAAAGCTCAGCTGGCAGCATCATTTGCTGTCAGGCAGAAGACCTATGTTCAGAATCACACACAAATGTTTGTCTCCTCAAAAGCCAGCAGGAAGTGTAGGTGGCATAAAAAAAATGACAGCCCTACTGCAAAGGCAAACAGAAATCTCCCTGTGATCTTGAGCTAAGTTTGTGTTTCCTGTGTAAAAGCTGCAAGGAGTTAGAAGCAGATAATACTCCCTCGAGTTGTCTTGACGTCCACAGCTGGATGAGAACTCTCTTTTTCTTTAAATTTACAGTGGCTGCATTGGATATTCTGGAAAATGGTGGATCAGTACAGTCCTATAAATCCCAAACACATACGTAATATAGCTTTTCAGAAATAACTTACAAAACACCCTTCCATAGGAGGAAAAAGTTCACAATAATGATAGCACACTGACAGTGCAGTAAAGAGGAATTCATTATTCTGACTGCAGGGGTTGACAATGACCAGAGGGCAAATGCATAAAATAAGAAGGAAGAGCCTATGCTCAAATGACAAAAACTCCCTGCCACAAAAGGAAAAACAAAAAGAAATATGCTCAAGATGTGCTTACTCTGTGTAGGAATGATGATGATAACATTTATCTGAGCACAATAAATATTTCTGAGCTGGAAGCTGAGGATGAAGTGTTATACAATATAATTTGTGTATAAATAAATTATTCCTTTCCAGTGATCATTGCCATGGATTGAAAAGAAATCTTTGCCATCTCATGGTGAAGAGAGTGGCAGCAAAAATGAAGGGTTAAATATGTAGGATGGTTGGTTTTGTGAGCAATTCTTGTACACAATTTTTAAGCTACCGTTCAATTCTAGAAACAAATCTGATTGTTATAATTATTTCTGTTATTACCTAAAGAGGATAATATCTACTCATGAATGCATCTACTTCAGTATGAAATTTTGCAGGCATAAATTGCACCATCAAATAAGATCTTAATCCCACAAAGGAACAGCAATAAGCTGTTTTTCTGGAGTTCTTTAGTTCTAAACAAACTTTGTATGCAGTCTGTCCGTTTTTTATTTTTAGTTCTTCCTTCTTTGTTATTGAATGCTTTTGTAAGAAGGAAGGATTTTTGTTCTGTATTTTCCTTCCCCTGACATTTCCCATGTGAAGTTACAATCCTCTCATAGCTTGTATGAAGAGGATTAGAACATGTCATCACCAATTGCAGATGAGGATTTAAAGCCGGGATGGACAGGGGGAGCAGAAGGATGAGACTGCCCGACCTGTCTTGATTCAAACTATGTGGATGCTTTGTGCCAACCTCTTCTGCTCCAGGAAGTTAGTCTGCCTTCCACACCTCATCTTATGGCAAGGGAAAATTGTTTGTTGTCGAAGAGGATGAAAGACTGATTTCTCTACTGCACATTGTTCCTAAAGATCCATTTCTACACAAAGGTAGTTGGCTCATAAAAACACA